CTGTTTACATTCCTTCATGGAAAGATGATATTTGTAACTTATAAGATTTTGTAAGTATTAGGGTAGTTGGAGGGAAGAAATTATATGTATGTATATAGATAGATAGATAGATAGATAGATAGATAGATAGATAGATAGATAGATAGAGGGCACAGGGTGAGTTGAAGATGAATGGGTGATATCTGGAGAATAAAATTAAGGGATGACAGAGGATTATACTGGGAGAGGGAGAAAGGCAGAGATAGAATGGGGTAAATAATCTCACATAAAACAGACAAGAAAAGGCTTTTACAGTGGAGGAGAAAGTGGGGAAGGTGAGAGGGAATGAGTGAATCTTATTCTCATCAGATTTGGCTTAAGGAGGGAATAATATACACACTCAATTGGGTATGGAAATCTATCTTACTCTACAGGAAAATAGGGGAGAAAAGGGACAAGAGAGCAGGGTGATGATAGAGGGAGGGCAGATCAGGGAAGGGGGTAATCAGAAGCAAACACTTCTAAGGAGGGACAGGGTCAAAAGAGAGAATAGAATAAATAAGGGACAGGATAGGATGAAGGGAAATATAGTTAGTTTTCCACAGCATGACTACTATGGAAGTGTTTTGCATGACTATACATGTATAACCTGTATCGAATTGCTTGCCTTCTCAATAAGGGTAGGTGGGGAGGGAGAATGGGAGAAAATTTGGAACCCAAAGTTTTAAAAACAAATATTTTTAAAAAATGTTTTCACATGCAACTGAAAAATAAGATATACAGGCAATGGGGTATAGAAATCTATCCTGCCCTACAGGAAAATTGAAGGGGAAGGGGATAAGAGAAGGGGGGCAGAGATAGAAGGGAGTGCAGATTAGGGGAAGGCATATTCAGAATGCATGCCATTTTGGGGTGGGGGATGAGGTGGGGAGAAAATTTGAAACTCAACATATTGTGGAAGTGAATGTTGAAAACTAAAAATAAATAAATTAATTAAAAAATTTTTTTAAAAAGAAATGAGGCCTTTATCAGAGACACTGGCTGTAAAAATTGTTTCCCAGCTTTCTGCTTTTCTTCTTATCTTGTTTGCACTGGCTGTGTTTGTGCAAAAAATTTTCAATTTAATATAATCAAAACCATCAATTTTGCATTTCATAGTGTTCTGTATTTCTTGTTTGGTCATAAATTCTTCCCTTCTCCATAGATCTGACAGTGAAACTATTCTTTGCTCTCCTAATTTGCTTATGGTATCAGTCTTTATATCTAAATCATGCACCCATTTTGACTTTATCTTGGTATACAGTGTAAGACTTTGGTCTATGCCTAGTTTCTGCCATACTATTTTCTATTTTCCCAGCAGTTTTTGTTAATGAGTTCTTATCCCAGAACCTGGAGTCTTTGGGTTTATCAAACAATAAATTACTAGTCATTGACTCCAATGGCACTTTATTAAAGGGTCCATGGTCCCTCTAATGAAGTGGACCTCAAATCTTCCTCATGCTCTGAGATGCCCCTCCTTCCAGGACCCTATTTTTTTATAGGATAAGATATCTAGACATTTAAGAACAACTGTACCAAATACAGAATAATTCCATTGGTTGACATATGATGCATAGGCATAAGCAAAAATGATTTGACAGCAAGATCATGAGTTGGGTGAAGCAAAGAATTTCTCCACTGACTAGGTGGTCATAAGTTGGTCATAACATGGTCACTTGCTCATGTTGGGGAATGATCCAGAGGTACAAAAATAAATTGGGGGATTTTCCGTGTAGTTTAATCACCTCTCTCACACTCGGCTTGGTCACCATGAGAAGGAAAAATAATGGTGGAGAGCTCTAGTTAACTTCCTATAATTAAGCAAGTGAATTTACAATCTATAGCTCACTATACAGAACTTATAATCAGTGCCCCTATAGAGTCATATCAAATTGATTTATACTGATTGGAACAGAGTAGGGGTCCTAAAGGAATCAACTTTCTCAACTCATAAAGAATTGAGATTTATACTTTCTTGGAGCGGAATTTATTATGCCTTAGCAGAATCCAAAAATGTAGGAGACACAATATCAAATAAAGCAGTAGTAAAAATTGTTAAGTTAAAGAGAGAATATCAGAGAAATTATGTTATTCAAAGGAGCATCTCTATGGGGAAAGATAATGAAAAAATATCAATATTAAATATGCATACACATAATAGCATAGTACTTAGGACATAAAGAAAAACTACCTGAATTATAGAAAGAACTAGATAATAATAATAACTAACATTTACATAACACTCCAGGTTTTCATAATTTTTCAGGTTTTCGACATGCTTATTTCTAACAGAAAAATTTAAGAAAAATATAAACAGGACTTGAATTATAATATAAGAAGAATAGTATAACTGTGGATATAATAGGTCTTTTGCAATTACTAATTTGGAATATACAATTTAGTATTGCAACCAATTCTAGAAAAATTAACTCCATGCCTAGACATCAAGAACTCATAAATAAATACAGAGGCAGGGTTTCATAGTGGATAGAGAGCCTGCCTCAGGGTCAGGAAGATCTGTATTCAAATATTGCCTCTGGAACATACCAGCTCTTTGGTCACAGGCAAGTAACCAAGGAAATTTTCAAGATCATGGATTGTAGAACATTTGCCAATCTGAAAAGCAGCATGGTGTAGTAGGCAGAGTTGAACTTGGAATAAAAAAAAAAACCTGACTTTGAATCCTGCCTCAGGCATTCACTATTTGTGTGATCTTAGACAAGTCATTTAACAATCTCTTGGCCTTAGTTATTTCATCTATAAAATGAGGGAGTTGAACTCCCTAAGTTCCCTTCCAGATTTAATGAGAAAGAGACAGAGAGACAGAGAGAGACAGAGACATAGAACAAATGTGGAAATATTTTCCATTACATAATTGTTGCAGGGATAAATGCAGGAGTTCATAAACAATCTGATGTTGACATTGACAGTCTGATGAAGCTTATCTCATAATATTCTTTCCCAGAATAATGTTTTTAAAAGCATGCTATAAAAGATATATAATTACAAAGAAAACCAATCATGCTAAAATGAAGATGTAATTCTGCTCATTCCAGTTCATAGACCCCTTGAAATCTATGCATGGACCCTAGGGAGTCTATGGACCCCAGATTAAAACCTTGGGTTAGAGTGAAAAAAAGTCAAAGATGACACCAAGGTTTTGTTGTTGTTGTTTGTTTTTATTAATGAAGGACTAGGAGGGAAGAACCCAATTCTCTCTCTCTCTCTCTCTCTCTCTCTCTCTCTCTCTCTCTCTCTCTGGAAATCTTTCATTTAATGCTTAGATTAAAAAAAAAATGACCCCAGTTGCTGATTCCCTGAATAGCCCTTGAGTAAATTAGTATTCATCAGTAGCACATTTACTAAAAATAAGATTTAGACTCAACAAAATCAGGGATCCGAGTAACAACACATTTTATTAAAAAGAAAGTTTTGCCCAAATCCAGAAGAGTTTTCTGTTGGAAATCACATGAGTGTCAGATGTACCATGTGCCAGGTGTGGTATCCTCTACCTTCAGGGAGCAGATAAAAAAAAAGAGGGGATTGAGGAAGTGGTTTAGGTTCCCAAACTAACATGAAAGAATAGGCTCTGTTCACCTTTTCTTTTTCTTTTTCTTCTTCCTGGAACAGGAAGTTGATACTCTGGTCCTTCTTAGCATAATGATGTCCTTTCCTTCTGGTATCTGCTTCTTCAATTTGTGGTCTGGTAGGTTCAGGCAAGTGACCTCTCACCAAGAATCTTCATGAGAAGGTTCTAGAGGCAGTCAAAGTCAGATCTTCATCTTCCAGCAGCAATTCTCCTAGAGACCATGAATGCCCTGAAAGGTACAGAAAGAAGAGTGATAGATTATTTGGAGTCATCTGACTGCTACTGTTAAACTACTACTATCACTTTCTACCTGTGCGATTTTAGGCAAATCCTTTCTCTTCTCTGGCCCTTCATCACTTCATTTGTAAATTAAAAGATTTTCACTAGATCACCTATTAAAGTTCCTTCTAACTCTAAATCATTGTTCCTATAGGTAAGAGGGAGAAAATTATTTACTTGTACCTAAAGCTTGCTTTACACTCTTTCCCATTTATTCTATTGCTTTATGTTCTAATGCTGACCATAGTCCAACTCAATAGACAAAAATGTTTTTCTGTGTTAGAAACAAGGAGGACTTATTTGAATAGTTTTATGCTGAAGAAAAGAAACATACCATGAGATAAAATCTTTCAAAACTTACAGAACTAGTTTTATAAGATACTGAAGTTCACTGATTCTTTTTTGCTTTCTAAGATGTTTCTAAATAAGAGATGGGTCTTTCTTTCACCTGGACATGGATTAACAAGGCCCTTCCCCATTATCTCCCCATGCAAATAATCACATACATGTTCTTATCTTACTTAGGCTGCTGTTTTGTATACTCTTATCCCAAAGGTGCCCAAGGTCAAATGGGCAGGAAGTGGCATAGCTGGGATTAGAACCCAAGTCTTAGGAATCCAAGCCCAATGTTCTTTCCACTATACCATATTTTCAAGAGTTTGCCTTCTACAGTCATAGAACACAAGAAACTATACCATGAGGAGGCATAAAAATAGAACTTATGAGGAGGATATTCATAGTAATGCATCTCAACAACATGTTAAAATTTATAATAGTTGGCATTTATACAATATTTTGAGGTTTTCAAGGGGCTTTAAATGTTATTTCAATTGATTTCTTTATAATAATATTAATTATGTTTTGTTCATGAGACTGGGGAAATAGACTGTAGTGCATACATGGAAACCATAAGAAAAAACCTCTAATATGGAGGTCCTGCTCTTTTCATGGTACTTTATTCAATTCCTCTAAATACTGCTTGTCTCATCTCAGGCCCACATCTTCAAAGGATAGATCTGTCTAATATTTTGTTAAACTTGTGCAAAGCAGCTGTGACTCCTCTCCTTTATTTTTAGGTCTATCCAACTTCTGGAGTCATTCCAAGTTCTTCTATTCATCTGCTGAAAGGTGGTCCATGTGTATCTGGCATATGCTTCTTAGAATGAGAAGGCAAGGATTCTGTGAAGGGCTTGAGAGTGCTTACACTCAATGTAAAAACTGTGCAAAGAGTAGAAGGAAAAGAGACAAGGAGGTTGCTGGAGCCCAGCTGCAGAGTTTGTGTAGAGGTTGTTGGCACCTGGAGAGCACTGTGACTCCCAGCACAGAGGTAGGTGGCTGAATCCTGGGGCTGGGAGGTCTTGATGAGCAGAAAACTTTGTTTCTTTTTTTCATCAAACTGGGCAATAAATCTCCCCTGGCTCCTTACTTCCTTGCTTTTAACAAGGATCGTCAAGAAGACTGGTTGTTTTCCAGGCTCTTGTCTGTACCACATTAAGGTGTTCAAAGTGCTAGAAGAATTGCAGCTCATGGTGAAGTCCTGTCCCTCTTGCATACTCATGGACTGAGGACTCTGCTCCAGTTGTTGTCCAGTCACCCCTATTCAAAAAGACCACAAGGAACATGAGATTCACAGCAGCTCCTAGCTCTCACAGCAGTGACATATTTTACCCCGTCTATGTCCTCTGCGCCTCCCCTATCTTCATCATTCCCCAGAAAGCTTGTCATGTAAGCAAAACCCTTCATAAAAACATTGTAAAGCCATCAGCCTCGCCTTCCCTTTATCAGACTGATAATTCCCAGTGACTAAATCAGGATATCCTCAAACGCACAGGCCAGTTGCATCCACAGGATCCCTAGCAGGGCAAACAGAATCTTTTCTCCTCTTCCCTTCATCTTGGACAACCAAACCATCTGCAAATCCTATATGAGCTTGCTCTGAAGCAGATATCAAGGGCTTATTTACCATTCGATTAGGCTTGGATGTGAGAGGTGGAAATCGGCTTTATGACCTCAGCCAATCAGATACCAGCCTTGCTTTTCTATTGGGAGAGCTTGGTTCTAAAAGTGGATATTTTGTTGTTGGAAATGCTGACCCCCTGTGGCCAGATGTGAGACTGGATAGATATTGAAGACAGGATTATTGTTCCCTAGTCATCTTCAAAGTTCATTTTGCTTCTCTTTAATGCAATATTTTTAATGACTACTAAAGTAGAGAGAATGTAGGGTAATAGTTTTAGAACTGGAAAGGACTAAAGGAGCCATCTACTATGATCCCTTTACAGATGAATAAATAGAGATTCATTAAGATAAAAGGTCATACAAGTAGTGAGTGATAGAGGATTTTAATCCAGGTCCTCTGACTATGAAGGCTGTGTTCATTCCATCATAAATGTGTCTAGTGTGACACACATTCTCTACGACCATTCTACTAAAATAACTAGGTGGCACAGTGGGTAGGTAGAAAGCTAGACCTAGAGTCAAGAAGACATTAGTTCTAATCTCACCTCATATTTATAATCTGTGTAATCCTTAGCAAATCACTTAATCCCTGTCTGCTTCAGTTGTCTCACTTGTAAACTGAAGATAATAATAGCACCTATTTTCCAAGGTTGCTGTGAGGATAAAATGAGATATTTGTAATGTTCTTTGCAAAACTTAAAGCACTATATAAATATGAGGTATTATCATTATCCAATATCATGAAGTACCTCCAAACCACTAAATTTGAGGGCTTTTGTTTCTTTCCTTAAGTTCTTTGACTTCTCTAAGGTACTAGACTCTATATTTCCTTTCTTGGATCTCCTATCTCTCCTACTCTGCCATCTTAGACTACCTTTCTGGCTTTTAATTATTTACCAACCCCTAAAAATTTGTCCTTTTCTATACTTTCTCCCTTGCAAATCTCACCAGTTATTACAGTGTGAATTACCAGTTACTTTGCGGAACATTTCCTCTTGAGCATCTGCTGGCACTTCAAATTCGACATCTAACACTGAATTCATCATTTTCCTCCCAAAACTGGCTTCTCATATTTTCTCTGTTCCTTTTGATAATGGCATCATCTTACCAGTCTCCTAAGCTAGTACTTTAGATTAACTTTTAACACTCTCCATTCCATATATCTAATCAATTCATCTTGTCGCAATGAAACAAATAGAGAAATTAAAGTGAACTAAGCTGCTGAGTGTACATTATGTTCAGAAGACAGCAATGGAAATGAAGATAAACACTTATGTTTATGTAAAATAAAGAAGCAGTATTTCAAGAACAGAAGGTAATTACTTATTTAAAATGTATTATGGTATTCAACATTTAATTTCATCATTGTCTATCGGTATTGCAAAAAGTCAGCATAGAATCATAGGTACTGTTGACTTCAATAAAATTACAATTTATTAAGCACATACCAAGTTCAAAAATTATACTTTGCTACTTGCTAGGGATATCAAGATTTAAAAAAAATTAACTATTGCTGTCCACAAGGAGCTAACAATCTAATAGAGATGATATGACACATATAAATATGAAATAACTAGACTGATAAGGATGTCAGGTAAACTCAACTTTGCATCTGCTGCCTTGCCTTCTGTCTCATGTAGTTTTCATTTATGATTACTTGAAATATAGCTCTGGAAAACCAGACTTTGATAAGATCATTATGATTCAAATGGAGCCAGCTGACTATGCCTTTAAACCCAAATCACTCTGGCTTTCACTGATAGGACAATAATAAGTCCCCGACCAAGCTTCACTTGCTCATTGTTTTTGTTTTGATGACTCAGAGTGAGTGTAACTAGCAATTGTTTCTCTTCCAGCCAGAAACTGAGGATCTTTCCCTCCCAGATAGATTCTTTAGTGAAGGTAAACCAGGTCATCTTTTGCCTCAATTCTTTACCTAGCCTTTAATTGCTGAATGGTCACTGCCTCAGACAAACAGAGACCTGGGAAAAACCTTAGCTTTAAAAGGGCAAGGTCTCCCACTGCATCTGGGGCCATTGCCAATCATCTTGACCTATGTCTTGCCACTGGACTCCAATACCTCTGGAGGAGAAAGTGAAGCTAATGACTCTGCACAGCTGTTTTACTTAAATCCAATTCACTTACAAGTCATCACCCTTTTGATGTCACTGGCCCTCTTCAAGAATGAAGGACAAATAACAACAATCTGCTTCCCTGCCTGATTTCAACACTATGGAGCAAGATAAGGATGAGCTCCCAGGATAAGCAGATCACTTCTAAATTCACTATCATGCAGCTAACTTAAGACTTGATTGACTCTACTTCCCTCATCCTCCTCTCCCCTCTGTTTGGAGAAATGGAGTGCAGAGTACCCAACTCCTCCTAATGCCTTCCTTTATAGAGGACAGCAGCTGGGCTCTCAGATCATTCCACTTTGCATCGTCTGGTTTAACTCCATAGAACAAAATGTTCCTGCACTGGGTACTCTTGTTGTCTCTTTTCTCCCCTGCTTTCCTGCTGCTTTCTGTATGTTATCTCCCCCTTTGATTGCAAACTTATTGAGGGCAGGGAATGTGTTTCATTTTATTAATTTTATCTCCAGAGTTTAGCACAGTGCTTGGTACATCATAGCTGCTTAACATATGTTTATTAACATCTTACTGGTCTCCTGAGGAACCTATATGTCGAGAAACAACAATCTGAACTGAACATGAATCAACTGATTGGTTTAAGATTGGGAAAGGAGTACAAAAAGGCTGTATATTTTCACCTTATCTATTTAACTTATATACATAGTATATCATGCAAAATGCTAGGCTGGAAAAATCAAAAAGCAAAATTAATGTTGCCAGGAGAAATATCAACAATCTTAGATATGCAGACAATATCACTCTGATGGCAGAAAGTGAAAAAGAATTAAGAAATGAAGGTGAAAGAAGAAAGTATAAAATCTGGCTTGAGTTTAATATTAAAATAACTTAAAGCCTGGTAACTGGTCCCATCACTTCCTGGCTAACAGAGGAAGAAAAAAAAAAGGAAGCAATGTCAGATTTCACATTCTTGGGTTCAAATATCACTGTAGATGGCAACTATGGTCATGAAATTAAATAATACTTGCTCCTTGTGAGAAAAGCTATGGAAGATCTGGACAGCACAGTAAAAAGCAGAGACATCACCTTGCCAACAAAAGTCCATATAGTTAAAGCTATGGTTTTTCCAATAGTAATGTATGGCTGTGAGCATTAGACTATAAGGAAAGCCAAGCAACGCAGAATTGATGCTTTTGAATTATAGTGCTAGAGAAGACTTTTGAGATTCCCTTGCACAGGAAGGAGATTAAATCAGTCAATACTTAAAGAAATTAATTCAAACCATTCATTGGTAGGTCAGATGCTAAAGCTAAAGCTTAAATACTTTGGCCACATAATAAGAAGATGCGAAGCGCTGGAAAAGATCTGGATGTTAGACAAGACTGGGAGAAGGAGATAGCAGGGGATGAAATGGATAGATAGCATCATGGAAACAATGAACATGAGTTTGGACAGACTTTGGGAGATAGTGGATGATAAAAAGTAGAGGATAAAAGGGCTTGGCATGCAAGAGTTCATGGAGTCAAAGTCAAACATGACTGAATGAAATGAACAACAAAAATGTATATTGTTTACTGGATATTGAATGTTACTAACTAGGAGTTTAAGTTAAAATCATGACCAGAGCAGCAAGAATGACAGTATGATAGTAAAAACAACTTTTATTGAATGGTGATATGCTTAGTCATTGTCAGTAGCACCAAGAAGACAGACACCCTATGAAATGTCGGCCTCTAGGGGAATCTTCAAGTATCACTGGTTGGATCTAAATAGAGGATTTAGAGAGACTAATACATACATATATAACTACATAATATAAGTACATAACTACTTCATACATAAGTGTTTATTTTCATTTGTTTTACTGTCTTCTAAACATTATTTGAACCCAGCAGCTTTATTCAATTTAGTTTCTCAATATGTTTCTTTGCAACAAGAATGGCTAATCCCTGTTATGCAAATCCTAACTGGGTGTGCAACCTAGAGAGTCACCTTTGTCTCCAGAGAGTTATTACAGATAAAATGGTCCTACTGACCAAATGAGTTCAAACCTCTCTACCTCTCTGGCTGACTGCTTATTGGGTTTACACAGAGGTTGCTCCAGTAGCTGAAACCCAAGTTAGACCTTTTTGTTCACTGTGTCTTTTCATATAATATCTTCCTCAAATTCCCTGTGTTTAAATGACATGTAAAGTAGATGTCCGGGGCAAATGATCAAAGGAAATGTGAGAAAGAAGTCAAGTCACTTAGCCTCTCTGAGATTTAGTTTCTCCATCAACATAACAGGGAGAATAATAACACTCAGGTATGTTGTAAGGATCAAATTATAAAATGATAATGCCTTGGAAAACAATGTGGTACCTTTCGAAACATAAATTATAGTCATGAGTTTACATGTATGTATTTAGAAACAATTTACATCAAAAGAAATAGAAAGTGATACCTCATCTTAAATATAATAATCAGGAATAAATGAAATTGGAACTATTATCTTGTGATTAATATCTTTAATCTCTCTGCACCTTTTACTTTAACATTTTGAAATATGTGATACAGAGGAAAGGTAAAGAGGCAGTGTAAGTAAAAGCTGAAGAATTATCATTAAAGGCTATGGGTAAATCACTTTCCACTTCTGTTTAAATATGTTTCTAAAAATGTTTTTCAGGCTTATATTTGGAACTACAAAAAGAAGATGACCTCCACTTTAAAAATCAGGTAGAAGAATCTCATAGGAGCTGCAAATCTGGTAATGGTAAATTTAAATATTGTACTCAAATTTTGAGACAGATCCATTTCCAAGATGATTTCATAAATGAAGTCAGTCTAATTCTCATATACTTACTCCAGAAAAAAAAAAAGGAAAGAAAAAAAATCAA